GTCACGCAAAGGGTTAGCTAAACCCGATCTAGGAAAAATTGTCAGGAAATTTGAAAGGAAATTTATTGCATGTAGGCCTATCAGAATTATTTTGTATCACATCCTGGCCCTGTCGAAATATATCTGCCAAAATGATGCATACTCGTATTCTGTTTCTAATAGCATAGGTCTGTAGGAACCAGTATTCTTCTTATATATTTCAGATTATGGAGTTTCATTTCAAATATTCTATATCATTCTTTTAAACTAACTTCACAAACATTGCTCTATCACTAGAGGTTATGCCTACACGCCTGTGCTTTCGTAACATTGCTTAACCGCAATAATGTTACAACCTAAAATTCCTAGCTGTAGAGATAGCCTAATGCCAATTTTAGCTAGTTATTTTAAAAAAAAAATGCATGGACTTTTACCAAAATTATTTCTTACATTTCACGGAAAATTATAAATTGGCCATAGCAACGCATGAGGGTTGTTAGTGGGATTTATTCAATGAGTTATTGGTTTTATTCACTATGGATACAATGTAAATATACTGGAAACCCGAGTCTAGGGCACCTGTTAAAGGGGAGGTAACTACCACAGCGCGTTCTTTCGTTGGAGACCAAAATGGCGGACGGTTCGTTTGTTTATATTTTATTTTCATCATAATTTCGCTAAAAAGTGTATTTAATCTTATAGAAATATCATTTATTTACAAAAAGTAACAGATTTGATGCTTTGCTAAAATGATGTCGAACAATTGGTAAAGTTTTGTGGTACTAAGGGTAAACATGTACACAAAAATTGGAGGTCACTTTTCAAAATTTCGACTTCAAGGAAGTTTTTCATGATTAGTTGTATAACTGATTGTTCTTTCTGCCAGGCTGGTTGTAGAAGCTAGAATTTGACAAATTGAGTATTTCCATACTTGTATTTTTTATACCTTGTCAAAGATATTGGGGAAAACTTAAGTATCTCATTGTCAAGAAGACCAACAATTGAGGCTAATTATAACAATGTAACTTTTTATCACTAATCTCTAGTTTGTTTGTCAGAGTATGCTTGTATTTCCATTATAGATCAAACAATGACAACTGTAGCAGTGGAATCAGTCAATGAACCTCAGGAACCTACCCCAGCTCCTGCGGCCACAGTGGCCCCTGAAATTCCAGATAATGTACAGGTGAGATAAAGAGAATGGTTTTTAACTGTTTATTGCGTTTGACTGTAAAAGGGGCATATATTAGGGCACCATTGATCAATGGGCAGTTATTTCTTAAAAGTAATAGTAGAATGGTGGTGTAAAGAAACATTTTGGTTTATTTTCAACATTCTGTTAATCATTTGAAGTAGGCTACATATATTGTCTTACTATTTTTCTTGAAACGCAGGAGGTATAGGTCAGGTTTCGTCATCTTTTTGTGCACATTTTCTTTTTTTCTACAGAAAATTATAGCAAGTGAAAAAGAAGCTACTGATTCACCACCATTGAAAAAAGCTAAAGTTGATTTACAGTCTCTACCAACTAGAGCCTATTTAGACCAAACAGTCGTACCAATATTACTACAGGGCATGTCTGTCTTAGCTAAAGAAAGGTTAGTTAATCTTTTTAAGCTGTCTTGTTGAATTCTTGCAACACTCTGGAAAAATTTCAATGTCTTATTACGTTTCTGAAATTGGACACCTTTAACTAGTTCAACAGATATTTGTTTTCCAATGAATTATTTGGATACATGTATAAGCTTAAGCTTGTCTATAAAGTAATTGCCTTGTTTAACACCAGCTTGAGTAATTATTTTACTTGAGCTGGAATGCAAAGTGTTTGGAATTAGTCTCAAGAGCTAATTCAAGCTATTAGGTTGAGGAATAATCTATGAGACAATCTTGTCCAAAACTAGATGGTAAACTGTTTGCTATTTGAACTCCATGTAAGGGATGCTGAGTTGAAAAACAGTTGATTAGGAAAGTCATAAGATTGCCCTGCCACAAATTCAAATAATATGCATGTGTTTTGTACTATTTGTCCACGAGTATAATGCTTAATTTTCCGTTTTCCATTTCAGACCTCCAAACCCAGTAGAGTTTTTAGCAGCCTATTTATTGAAGAATAAAAATCAATTTGAGTGAATGGTTGGATTGAAACTTTATATTTTTATAACCAGTGTAGTTATTTATTGTCATTTCTAATCATTTCACCATTATGTAAATATATTTTAAAGTCTGGGATTAGGGCATAGATATAGATGTAATTCTCAATATATATGTTTTCTCTCTATCTGTGTTTACAAAAAAAAAATAAGTGTGGTTTTATTTCTTAAAATTCTGTCTGTTGACTTTATCAATTCCTAAAGATTTTCTATAACAGTTTTAGTATGAAAAGTTGAGTTTATTTTTAAAAACATTTCACCCATTTGTTCAGATGGTAAATAGGTTTTCTGAATTCTCTGTGTATGACAGAAAAAATTTCTCTTTCCAATCCCTTTAAATTTCTGTTTCGATTAGGTTGTTATGAATTATTTTTTTCATTTGATTTTAATCTGAATTGTATATTGTCATGTTTTTAATCAATAAAAATTTTCATCATAATCCCTGTGCTATTTTTTAAATATATGAGTTCACATTTAGCTCTGGCAGCATTAATTTTGTCCCCTTACTTATCTCTTTCAAATAACTCTGTAAATTAAAGCCAACCCCTCAACTGTATTGTGGAATCGTATGGGGCAGAGGGACAATGTAGAATATCTGGTAATACCTAAATGGACTCATTGAGACTCAACTTTGTATAGATACCAAAATTATTGTCATGGTGAAGATTCTTAAAAACTAGTGACTTAATAATGGATCACAGCAACACCCATGATAAGCATAATTTTATGTCTGGAACTGAAAGAGCTGATTTCCCGGCGTATATCACGCCTGAGAAAAGGTACAGCCAGACTTGTCAGGCTAAATGGACTTAGGACTACTGAATCTAACAAAATAGAGGTGTAAATTTCTTTTTATCTGATAAAGAAAGATGATAAATACATAGTTATTTTGATAACAAATCAACCTTAATAAAGATTATAATACTATTGATAGTACACTAGATATGCAAAATGCTAGGAAATAAATAACAAAAAACTGAGCATATATTTATATAACTTTGATAAACAAATAACAGAAAATTATTGGAAATAAACAAATAAGGAAAATTTCATAAAAAGTTAAAAAGTTATATCCACTAAAACATGTAATTGATTGACCAGCTGATGGAGCTCAGTTTCAGAATTAGATTATTATATTTTCTGTTTACTAAAATTAATTCAAAAAATGCCCTGTTTGATGGAAATGAGCTCTGTTTATTTATCAAAAGATGTATAAACCAAAAACTGGCAAAAAAAAAAACTTTGCTGGGAATTGGGCCCTGAAGTAAATGCTTTTCGCTAAACAAAATGCATGTAATGAAATTTATTGACTAATTGCCTAATTTCATTGATTTAACCATAAATAAATTCTAAATAAAAAAAGAAATTATTATCTATGGTATTATTACAAAGATAGACTTAAGATCTTATATCAAAATTATAGTAAAAATTTGATTCTATGCCTGATAATAATTTCAAAGCACCTGTTACAAATTGCAAAGTTCTGATTCTTTTTCTACCACGGCTAATTCTTAACAAAATAATGTCAGCAATACACAAAATCCAGCCATTCTAGAGTCGGCATGATAAATGGATGATTTCATGCTCAAAGTAACTTGTAATATAAATCAAAGTCACGATGCGAGTGGGAGGCTTGGTTCTATGGTGGGTTTGTTTCTTATTAAGCCTAAATCAACCATGGGCTTATTTCACTACTATTCTATATGTGGAAATTGAAAAATTATTAAATAATAAATTTTTTTGTTAAAATAAAGTCTTAAGCAAAATTATCTAAGACATTATAAAAAGTCGTCATGGTACAAATTGTGCTAAAAGGTGCCCATTTGAAAATGCATTAAAAACTGTTTAAAATGACATTTTAATTCAACAAAAATTGTCATGGATGAGGCCTGAGAGTTAAAGACTTACAATGATAACTTGGCATCAACGTAATTAAAATTAGACCAAACTTTTGTTGCGTTTTTTATTACACCATTTGTTGGCATCATAAAATCCCAGCATTGGAGAGGGAAGAAATTTGATTGGCTGAGGGTGTCATCAAACAGATGAATGTTGATGATGAACGAATGAACAGAACAGCAGTTTGGTCTTATTTTAATCAGACAGATCTAGACATCTACCAAATAACAACTTGTAACAATATATAACACTTAACAATAAGGCTTAATCTTGTATCTTTCCGATCAGACAACTAACAAGTTTCTGTAGATCTCCAGCTCTTTTCTGTCCTATTTTCAGAACTTCTTCATGAGTGGTGGCATTGACAGCATCGTAAGATAATGAACACATGTCAGTGATTAAAGATATTCCAAATACTTTCAACCCACAGTGTTTGGCTACCACAGCTTCAGGTACTGTACTCATACCTACAAACAAAACAATGAATTAATATTTCATAAAAATATTCTGGCATACTCACATCTTAGGATAGGACTTTCAAGCCATTTGAAGAGTTCGAATATAGACCCAATATGTAACCCTATATTTGCAAGTATCGTGTCTTGCTTTACATTGAAATAGGAATAGTAATCCATCTTTAATCTTCCACTGTCATTTCGTAATAGTATCCTCACAAGATTTTATTTGTAAACATTTACAAGGCTTTCTTATTGATGTTAATTGGTGTGTCAGTCTGACAAGAAAGACTGGGCATAATCTTAAAAAATATACTATTATAAACCAAGAAAATAGGAGAACTGGAAAATTTGAATGCAAATGGAACCCTGAAGGTAGAAGACACCAATAAAAACCTACCAACAGCATCGGCACCCCAATTTCTCAGTAACCTGGACTCAGCCACAGTTTCAAAAGTAGGACCTCCAATCATTATATAAACCCCTTCTCTTAAAACAGGTCCATAACCTAATTCCTGAGCAATAGCTTTGGCTTGTTTGATCAACTGATCATCGTAGGTACCGACAGTGGCAGGAAATCTTGGCCCAAATCTGAAAGACAGAAAGAAATAACTATGATCCACAAGAATAACATTAAGGTTAACAAGGATCCTTTCTACTAGCAGGTCCGAACTTTTTGGCATTGATCTTTCCCAGATTATCTGTGCCCATTTACCATTTACACTGGCTGAACATTGGCAATTAATGCTATCAGAGTCTGTAATACACATAAAAAGTTTGGAAAACTTCTTTACAACTCCTTTAGGTCACAACCTACCCAACTGAGAGAGAAATTTGTAATTACCTTTCATCATTTCTACCGATAAGAACACACTCTCCAGTTAGACCAGGGAGGTCAATATGGTCTCGTAAGATCATCAAATCACCAGTATTAAACTCTGGGTTCAAACCTCCTGCTGCATTCGTTACTATCAGTGTTGATATACCCATAGCTTTCATAACACGTACTGGCATAGCTACCTATAATATATAACATAGGAAATACATCATCATAATCACAAACGTAAAGCCAGAAAACCACATGATGCTACAAATAATTCAACCAGTGCAAAACACAATAAATAAATGGAGTTTTACATCCTACCTTTCTGCACCTAATTGAGCTAATGAAGACAGGCAACTGCATGCAGAGTGCAATGAGAGAAATTTTGTCAGGACAGCAGCTTAGCCTACTCTTTTTTGATTTCCAACTGCTGAGGGATCTTTAACATGCACAGCCTGAACCACACAGGGTCTCGGTTACAAAGCAAATTAATTGTCATGTTACCTTCCACATAGGATAGCCTTCATAATAATGGAATCTGCCTCTCATTAAAACAACTGTTTTTCCTTCTAACTTTCCAAATACCAACTTCCCTTCATGACCTTGTACTAAAATATACAATAATTGTTTAGTGGCTCACAAATATCTGTGAACATATGGCAACATTTTCACAGCTTCAGGGTCCAAAGTCCTTAATGACCAAAGATTAACATAAATTGATTTTAACACCCTCTTCAACTGATAGTTCAACCACTAAAATTTATTGAGATGTGTTTAAATCCACCCTACCATCCCTACCCACCTGATATTTCAGGCAGAGCTGTTTCTACTGTAGGAGGGTTCCTGCTCTAATTTCCCTTCCCTTCAACTCTCAAATTTCTAATCATATCATCTTACATACCTAGTGCTGTGAGCTCCCCTTGACAGTTCTGTGGCCTCAACTTAACCCCCCATTATAGAAATGCTATAGATGACCATACAAATATCTTACCAGTGGCCACAGGAAATTCCTTAATTTCATGATAATGTACGACGTCTGGTTGATCTACCTTGTCGGCTAGTCCACCCAATCCAGACCCACAAATAATACCAATCGTTGGACGGTGTTGGGTTTTCTGAAGAACATCTTTGGCTATTGAGTTAATGTCATCAAAGGTATAACTGAAAATATTAAAAATATATTAAGATACTTTGAAATCTTAAATAGTTGAGAGTAAAAATTGTAGAAGCAATATCAATCAGATTTAATTTGTTCAATAAAAGTTTTTTGTTTAATTACTGGTAAATAAAGGAATACAGTCTAATTATTTTCTTTATTTGCTCAAACAGCTCAATTTCAGATATTTAAAGCACATTTTTCAGATTTAAACTTTTATCACATCTGAAGTTAAAATTAATATTGTGATGTCATTATTGGTAATACCATCACACAAATGTAAAAAAACTTTGGATGTAGGATTTGCATTCTAAAAAGAACCATAGTTAGCCAGAAAATGAGTTAGACCAGCAGGTAAAATAAAATGATATTGAAACTGGTAAATATACAAAATTATTCAAAAATGAAATTGTGAAAAATGCCAAACTCTGTAACAGTAAGTTTATAATAAGCAAGATTTTCTTCCACTTACTGTGAAATGTATAACAACAAAACAATGAGAAAAAGTAAGTTAATTACCTAAAAAATTTAAAGAAAAACAAAATGCTTTTACAAGCAATATCAATTAAAATCATGCTTTTCAAAAAATAATTCTAAGAAGCAAAATCAATGGAAAAAAAGAATATCTACAATTATTCAATCTCATATGACAGAATCAAACCATGCTGTGCTAAAAATGTCATGACAAAACAGAATGATAAAAGACCTGCAGAACTGAAAGTAAAAAAGCAAAAAGCGCCCTTCATTTTTTCATATAATGGACACTTCTTGATCTTTGTTTTCTGTCATTCTTCACAAAAAAAATTGAAAATTCTCCAATAAATAAAGTACCAGTCGGTATCAAATAGATGTAGACCACGTTGTCTAAATATTAGCTTTACCAACAATTTCATCTTAGCATTTATAAAATTGAAATCTTACATGTGGTTTGATGTGTGCGGAGAGGAGTTACATAGGCATCTGCCTGTTCTCCAATCCTTTTTCTATATGAAATAATTAATAAATATTGTTTAGAACAAAAAAAGTGAAGTTAATGTAATTTCTTTTTAATTGTATGAGATCAAGCAATTGCATATATCATTTATATCAGTTAGCTAATATTCAGCCATTTTAGCTGGTAAAGAAAATATTTGACAACTATAGGGTTATCCTTTAGAATTGAAAGCCATGCACATTGAAAGAATGAATAAATTCTAATGGCTATTTCAAGCTGACAGATTATCAAATACCTTTTATCACAACCCAATGATGGAAAACTACAAATAAAAGTTTTCTCATTAACAACAATTTGGGATATGGAAAATAAAATCACTCAATCAACAAGGGTAAAGTTGGAGTATGCACCACCTCATTTTGTATACTTGTACATGAAAGATAAGTTCTATAATAGATTTCAAACTGAATGTTAATATATTTTTTAATTCAAGGTAATAACCCATACAAAAGCTTAAATCGTTGTGTAAAAAAGAGAAGCTTATAGGCCTTCTAATCTGTTACCATTAAACATACCGTTACGAAACAAATATCTTATACCAAATATAGAAGAGGGATGGAGGGTCAACAGGGGGGGTGGGATTTGGCTCAACAAGTTATTCAAGTCATCTAAATGTTTCAGGGGGGGAGGGGGAATTTTCTTAGGCGCGAGAGGCCCTAGGTCCATAATCAGCCCAATGTGTCAAGGGAGGAGGCCGCATTTGCATGAGGGGCAAAATATAACTGATAGATTCAATTGAGAATTTGTTAAAATTTTTCAGGGGGGCTAGGGGGTGGGAGGGGGATATATTTCAAGGGTTAGACAAGCCTGAATAGTGGTTTGCATGTACAAATATTATAAGATAGATTATTGCAGACTGAAGAGTTATAGTCAATATGTGTATCTGACTTTATGACCCTTACCATAACAATAAATTATTAAATATGTAGCCTGTAGGTTAATGGCCATAGTGGTGTGTATAATAGACTACATTTAGTACATTGGTGGAAATATAACTTTTATGCCAGATAAAAAAATTAGCGCTGCTTACCCAACTTCAGACTGATCAGTGGTCATTTTTAAACAATGAAATGGTGGACTTTACTCTCGTTTGCTTACAACAGGATCTTGTTTACAGCTAACAGGAGCTAATAATCGCTGACATCAATTAACTCAATGACCGGTTCACTAATCCGTCCTATCCATTCATAATCAGTTATTCATTATCCAGTCTTTTTTCGCGTCTTCACCATTTCTATTTAAACGTCAGTCTGGATAACGGCGTATAAGTTTTTTTTTTCAATGTCAAGGTTGATTAGATATAACTTCAGTGCAGTCGTAATATTTGGAATTCCTTCGATATAAACAAGGTTAAAGCGACCCATTTTTGTTCTTTATGGAGCAATTATCAATTTAGATGAAATAGAGAAGATAATATCAATCCCAAAGTAACGTTTTGAGGAAATATTTCAGAGGCAAAGAATAACCTCTAATATTCAAATTAGTTTCCCAAGGTCAGTCCTCTTTCCCGCCTTAAAACGAGGAGGCATGACTAAACATCGAAATGAAACCAATGGATACCTATTCAAAATATGTTATATTAGCTCTGAGGACTCTATGAGGACATATTGTCTTGAAATCATAGGTTTCTTTAGTAGCCTCTATAAAACTGTTGATCCTAATGGGCTAAATGCTAGGAAGGCTTTTTGTCTTCTTTCTCTAATAAAGTGATTATTATTATTATAATAATTATGATTTAGTTATGTTGGCCAGATCCAACACTGTGTAACATTATTAAACCCATACTTTAATCCTCACTGTAGATCAATAAATTCAATTCACGGACACTGAGAAAAAGTCAGTGTACACAGTGCAAGCATAGTGAACACAAATCAAAACACAAGGAAAGTGTGAATACGAATTTTACTACAGTGACGAATGCAGCTTGCAAATATTTTACGACAACTCTGAGACCATTTTATGGCAACATGGCCGAAAATTGAGCGTGCTGAATTTTTGACAATTAAATAATCTCCTTTAGCACTAATAATTGAAATATGATTCCCGATCTCTCATAGGAGACACTCAAATTTTGTCTCTGAATTACTTTTAGCATATTTTGATAAAATCTGAGAAAATGGCGGCCTCAAACATCCGCCTTTCCACAGCAGCTCAAATTATGAATGAAGAAGATGAAGCTGCTGAGCCGATTCAGTCGACGTATGATAAGGTAGCCAGCAGTATGATATCATCTGAATTCTGAACAAACATCACCACTCTAGCCCCATCCATCATGGTTTAATCGACATCGAAGCGATTAAAAACAACACTGTCACACTGTGTCAAAGCAGTTCTGTGTCTCTCTTACTCTAGGTCCAAGAAAATTTATATGATAACCGTTATGATTTTCTTTGATTTAGTTCATTGCATATTAGCATCACAATTATTGTAAACATAACTTTAACCCTGTGCCAGTGCCTTATATTGAATAGTAACTGGATACTCTTCAATCACCCTAATCTCTAATCTTAAATGCATTGAATATGCCAACCTATGAAAAGAAATTCAATTATATCAATTAATAATGATCTAGTCAGTTATTTATTCGAACAGTCAAAATTCTGAAAATTTTGACTAAAATTTTAGATTGCCTGGCAACTATTTATATTAAAATTAAGAAACAAGTTTGGCCATGTTTTTGTCAGCGTAACCTACAACTATGTCAAAACTAAAAACTCTATGAATGCATTATCATTTTCTGTCTGTAGGTTGTGGAACTTTTGAACCAAGCAGCTCTGATGACACGAGATGTTGACAAAATTAAATATTTAAGACAGGTAAGGGCAGATATTATTTTCTTCCACTACTACAATTCCAATGCTATTGAAAAGAGAAGAAAGTTTACGAAAAGTCTATATAATAAACTGCCCCCTTTAAGATACCTTGACCTTGTAGTTGTGTTATTAAATATATTTTTAGTGTTTTTAATATAAAATTTGTATTGTTTTAAATGTCATTCCAAATGGCAGCAAATTATGCACTATCTATTTGAAAAGAAATTGTTGAAATATTTCTAACAGGTAGAAATGTTATACTTGTTTGTTTGTATTTCCAGGTTCAAGAGTTGATAATTCATAAAGATCCTACACTGTTAGATAACTTTCTCGATGTAAGTATGAATAATGAAAAAAATAACATAGGATTCTCTTCGGATTTTAGCAGGGATGACATAGATAAAGCTTCTAGTGAATGGAAGGTGACAATAAACAAAGGCTCCGTGTGTTTAAGGATTTGTAAGTGAAAGATCCCTCAACAGTTGGATATTGTCTGTCAGTGTTCCCGTATTTTGGTATTACCACAAAAATAGGCTTCAGTTTCCTAAAAGAAAATTGTTATTTTTTCATTAGATTTTGTTAAAAATCTTATTCCATTTCAGGAAATGTTGGCCTTTATCAGTGATAGATCAGTAGATGTTAAAAAACTTCTGATTGGCTTTCTAGAAGAAGCTTGGTGTGTAGAGTGTTTTGTGTTTCAAACCAAGCTGAATCATTTAAACAGAGTTCCTTTCTGTTTTTTTATAATATCAAATATGATCTTTAATAAATGATTCAAATTCTGACTTAATTTGGGTGTAATTTCTGTAATCAGCTATAAATGGGTTTGGATAATCCAGGAAAGATTAAAGCCAAGTGGTTTGTCCAAGGACCAGCTGGTAGATAGGATCCTGGTGAACCTAAGATGTTATCCTTGTAAAGTTTAATCTAACTGAAAGGAAATATTTGAATTATAAAGAAATGTTGTTGTTTATTTTTTAGTAAGAAAGATAAAGAAATCTTACCGAAAGCTCTACCAGGAGTAACTATATTATTAGCTGATGATAACGCTAATGTTAAAAAGAAAGTTATCTTGTCTTTAACTAGTATATTTAAATACAGCTTACAGGTAAGTTATAGCCTTCCCTTTTCTACAGGTGAGAATGGACAAGGTGCTGGATTATAGATATACATAAACTAGAAGCAACGAATCGAGTAACTTAAGTGATTCCTGTGTAGATCTTCATGAATATCTGAATAATCAAGGCTACAATTGTAGTATTTCAGTACAGGAAAGGGATGTTGAAATTTCTGTTAATGTAGAGCATAATGTACATGTATTTGCCTTGTGCTATCAGCTGATATAGTAATGCTAGTCATCAACCTTTACAATTTCTTCACTATTTAATTTCAGTGGATAGCTAAAGCGAAGACTCCTAGTTCAGAAATGACGTCTGTTTGGGAGAATATGATGAAAACTAAAAAACAAGTTTTAGAATTGTTGGAGTCTGAAAATGATGGGTGAGTTTAATTCTGATGAAAATTTGTTGATTTGTTTGTATTGCTGTAATTCTTGCATCTTATAGCAGTTATTTCCCCTGTTATTCAAAGAATAGAAAAATTGTGGAGCACTCGATGTGAGAGTTCTGCTCATTTAGGATTCATTGAACCAACCGTTAATTCAAAATAACAAGTTGGATCAAAATACATTCCATGAGCTCGAAAAAATAGAAATTCAAAATGGCGGAGAAAAGAATAGGTTAAATTTTGAATGTTACATATGGAGTTCTGTACTGCTTGGTTGACACTTACAATTGGAACAGACGGAACCACTCCCAACAAACTAATCCAATGTGACCTACATGTTGGCACACCATGAAATAAAGTTATATTGATGTATTTGTATGATTTCAGTATACGTACCCATGTTGTTAAGTTTCTAGAAGGAGTGGTTTTAGTTTTATCAAAAAGATCAACAGTAAGTAAAATCTTTCTTAATAAAATGAAATGGTGTTTTATCTCTTACGTTTGTACTCTATATAGATACCTTACAGTGTGCAATGAGGGAAATAACAAATAACAAACAAATAATAAGGACAGCGGCATCAGTCTATCTTTTTAGCGGCCAAGTGACCAAGTAGCATCATATAATGTTAACTTCATGCACTTAAAAGTAATATTACTTGGAGTTCAGGTATATGACAATTTATTTTATTTACACTCAGTATTTCAAAGTTTAAAGATATTAATATTGTCTATTTTAGGACTCGATGATACCGAAGAATATGGAAGGGGACATAACTCTAGATCAGATACCAGAATCGAACACGTATTTGAAGGTTAATAAGTTAGAGGAGGATGGAAAGAAATCGTTTATTTTGTTGTTACAATTTCAAGCTTCACCACATATATCCAGGTAATTTGAATTCAAAAATTTATGATAGAATGATCAACTTCACACCCCCCTTTTCTGTCAGTGAACTCTTCTTTTCATTCTTAACTCTTGTGTGTTAAAGCTGCAAGTTAAGAAGAGTCATTTGATAAATAGGGGTGTTCACTCTCATACCATTTTCAATATTGCTGATCACAGGGAAAATATAAAAATACTTTGCACTAAATGTTTTTTTAAGACTATATTTCTTAAAATGACTTTATAGAAGATTTTCCTGTTATTGTGTATGTGTTTAAAGCATCTATTTACATCATTCTGATTTTTCTAGTCTTTATATGTGTTTTGGGACCCTTACATTCTGATTGCACAGCCAATGTCTGTTCCTGTAATTTCTGAAAGACTTGACAACTATCAAGCTATATATAATGTTTTATTTTCAGTATTAACCTGATGACTGTTATGGGAGCATTAACTAATATAGCTAAACAAAGACCTATATTCTTAGATCAAGTTGTACAGGGTTTAGAGGCTTTACATGGTACGTATCTTGAACTTTAAACACTGAGGGAATAGAACAAAACCAAATGTACCCTGTACACTTGATATGACTTATAGGGTATAATGTTAATATGTGATGTCACTTGGTTAAGCCAGCTTCACCAGCTACTTATGTAATTAAGTGTCCAATAGGTACCAGTGAGCACAGTAAGGTCACAATTGCCTGACATTTGACATTCTGGAATGACCTATGATTATTTTTTTCAGTAAATTTACCGCCAACGCTGGCTAAATCTCAAGTTAGTAGTGTTCGTAAAAATTTAAAGATGCAGATGTTAGCTCTATTAAAACATCCTGCGTCTGTTGATCATCTAACACAGATTACTACATTGTTAACAGATCTTGGTGCTAGTCAGTCAGAGGTAAGATCAATATTTATTTGATGTTCAGGAGAATTGTGGATTAGTTCTGGCTGTTGTAAAATTTTTAGAGAAAATAAAATTTTTCTTCAACACGTAAAGTAGAAAGAAATTTTTTTTTTTCAATTTATCGTCAAATCTCAAATATCTTTCAAATTTTCTGTTTTTTATTTGTTTTTCAGATAAACAAAAATATGCCAAAAATGGATGAAAATCGAAAAAGAAAACTGGAACAAACGTCAACATCAACTAGTAAAAAAGCTAAAGTAGAGGTAATAAATTGAAAGAATTAATTCCTAAACTAGTATATTATTCAATAACAAAATCTTGACATCCAGAGCCTGACAGAATCTCGAAAGCACAAATTGTGGATTGGAATCCAGGTCAACATAACAGTCTTTATCATTATTTGATTTTTTTATTTATTTATTAAAAGAAAAATGAAGTCATGACATGTGACAAAAATGCAATTTATGAAGTCAAATAAGAAACACTTGAAATCATCACCATGATAACCCATAAAGCTTGAGTAAATATCATCAATAACTTAATGCCAATATGTGCCTCCGCAGACTACCTACCGCTATCAATAATAAAATCATATATAATATATTTTTATTTTAGATTGATTTAGACGATGATGAAGTCCAGATGACCCCATTCGTACCCCAGGGTATAAAACGTGCCCCGTCTGTCTCCCAGCGACAAACTGCTATAGATATTACAGCAGAAGACATTCTACCTAAACTTAACTCCCAGAATGTTGCTGATCTTGTATTACTTAGTATGGTAGGTCGTTAATTCTTCAGTGAATTTTGGAGATTTTTCCTCTTCGCTGTTAATCCCTAAACGTTTAAAAGCTTAAAAGATGGTAAATGGAGCTTTTAAGCCAACAAGTCTCGCCAGAAAACTTATTGCATGACTCTTTATTCATTTCTCATGCCTTCTCAAAGATTAAATAATGTTTGAATTAAGCAAAGACTGAAGTTATATCTCTGATTATAGGTAATGTTACCAGATACAATGCCAGCCCAGTTTGAATCAACCTATACACCAATAGCAGCCGCTGGTACAGAGGCTCAGATAGCTCATTTAGCTCGATTGTTAGCTACTCAGTTAACTATGGCTGGGTTTGGTCGAGGTCTGGGAGAACTTCAACGTAAAGTAAGTATAGATTGTATCTCAGACATGAAGGAACTACTTTTGTTGTTTTACATATATTGGTAACTGTGGCTTTTTCAAGTAATCATGTGGTGGACAGGCCCTGGGTTTGGGAGATGAGAATAAGGGCCACAGTATTTTTAAGTGGCGTTCAGTGCACCAGACATTTAAGAAATCATGATAAGTAATTTGAAAGTGGAGAAAGAAGGGTTTTGAAAATCATTAACACATTTAATTTATATTGTAGTTTTTAGAGGAAGGAGTAAAAGATGATGGTAGTACTACCCCAGCCTCTCCTATGGATGCTAGTTACCCATCACCTAAACAACTTATACAAACTCTAGTTGGTAAGACACTGCTTTATTCTACACTGATCTATACCACCTCTTCCAATATCTCAATGAAGTGTTACTGAATGAAGTCTAGAACAAGTTCTGTCTGTTCCCATTCTGAACTTCATACAAGCAGTGTGATATGCCACAATCAGAATATATTTTTCTATTCCTTTCTATGGTTTTTGAATCCTGCTTTATTGAATTTCCAAATGAGTTCATGAATCCTGAACAAGCAGAACTCATCAATCAAGGACCACCCAGAACTGATATGATAATACTATGTTGTTTTATGACATTTAGGTGGGACAACTAATCTAGAAGACAGTGGTACTGACAATAAACCTAGTAGTAGTAGTAGTACAGGTGTACCAGGATCCTTTCTACAACCCTCTATGCCTGTAAGTAACATAGTAATACATCATGAACTGAGTTAACCATTGGATTAGGGTCATTACTTCAAGGGATTGTAAAGAGGTTTTCTCAACTTTGTATATGTAAGATTATTGAGCCACTGATAGCATCAATGTCCACCATTCCAATTTACAGTCAGATGTCTGTGATTCTTGCAATTCCACTCAAACTAATTGTTCTATGACCTCACTATCTGAACAGCTACTAATAATATCACCGGGCATTTCATTAAATGATTTATAATTTTTAATTGATTTTTGATTTTATTCAGCTATAATCAAGAGTGAGTTATGTTAAATATATTTTTGTTTCATTTCAGGCTGCCCCTCGTAAATTACGTCAGTTTAAACTATCAACTATAACTAATCCATTAGATGCTGGTAAAATAGATGAGATGACTATAGCTACTATGAAACGTGTACTGACAGCTGAAAGTAAGTCTGTTTGATGTTAAATCATGAGCTGGTACATACCTTTCAAAACTATGTACAATTTTGAAATAGCTTTATGCAATATTATGTATTTTAAATGTAGAAGCTTATTGATTGGTCAGCTTGAAAATGATGGATGTCATGAATATTTATAACTTCAGTCCCTAGTATGAGTTTTACCTGCTAAAGGGAAACAGGGTAGAAATAGGTAATTGTTTCAGAGGTGCTGAAGAGAAGTTGGCAATACTCCGAAAAATTCTTATCATTACAAAAACAGACTTACCAATGCCCAGTTACGATTCCTGTTATCAATGTACTTTAATTTTAAATGTTTCAATGTTTTATTTCAGCTATTGCTCAGAATAATAACATTACTTCAGTCAGAGTTAAAATTCTCGCTACATTAACAGCTCAGTTTGGTGGTGGACTCAAGGACAGTAAGTAATAAAACTTCTATTAAAAATAAACTTTGATCTGAATAACTGGACTCCATTATATGGATAACAATATTGCAACGTTTCTACGATGGTGCTTGCTTCTTGATCGAGCTGAAGCAAACTTTTGGGTTGATATTTATTACCTGTTTAATTAAAAAGATTGTAAAATAAACTCAACACTTTGTGGGATAGAAACTGCACATTTTAAGTTCCCTTGGGGGTTGGAAACTTCGTAGATTGAGATAGGCTAAGACATCTGCCCTGGCATGAAAATTTCCCTTGTTGCAAATTGCATGACATAGCACGCCTTTATTGGCCACATCACGTCACAGATAAGTGGAACATAAAACTTGTTCTTTTTCTTACAGTGTTACAGACGTTTATTTTTGAAGATTTAAAGACACGTAGTGATATAGCGTTTGCCTGGTTATATCAGGAATATGCTAATTGTCAGGGCTTTATCAGCGTGGCTGATCCACAGACAGATAAAAATAGCCTGGCTAGTTATGATGAGTGTTTAACTAGATTGTTAAGTATGTTATTAGATAGGCCAGACCAACGAGATGGGTAAGAGTTTTTACTCAAGTTTTTATGACTTCTCCTAAACGCTATTTTTAAAAAATCTTATGACCTAATTTATTATGTTTAAAGTTGTTTTATATATATCAAATTTTAATGAAGAATCTATTTCAACTAGCAAGTTAGGTAAAAGATTCTTTTCAAGTTTTTATGACTACTCCTGGATCCCATTCTTAAAATCAAATCAAATCATCACGAAAATGATTATTGCCCCTTAAAATGAAGCCTGGATCTAACGAGTGAAATTTCTACTGTAGTTTATTTAGTCGATTGATATTAGAGGCACCAGTAGTAACTGATAATGCTGTTGAAATGTTACGTAGATACAGTGCCAATGAGGTAGGTTTAATGATTGTAACTTTTATTGCTTATATTTACTCTTTTGAGTGTTTATTTCGTATCTGCTTGTTTAGATGATGAACCTATACTTGATGTCGATAGAGGCCTTATGTCGGACATAAGGAAAGTGTCAGGCAAATATGACTAAATCACGATGACAAACTGATTGAATATTGAACAGATTGTCTGTAATTAAAAAGTCAAAAATATCCTACAAGTGTAACGTACAATAGAAAATACCCAACTCGTTCGCACGAAAAAAAATTAACAAGTTGGCATTACACAGACACACTGAAATGTTAAGTAAAATTTGTATAATATAATTATTGTTATCTAAATGATTAAAGGTTATTATAATTTTCCAGTCACAGACACAGAATGGGATGGAAACATTAAGAAAGTTAATATTGATGAGACCTAATAGAAGATTACATTTTCTAGATGTTTTACTAGAGTTTACAGGTCACGATCAACCAGAGGTATATTTTAATTATTCTAAATGTTGTATATATGTTTTCCTGATGGGCAAAGTGTTAGACATGGACCTAATTCTGACCCATGTAAAGTAAAGAGTTTTTTATTATGAGTGTACTCAAAATATCTTTCACAGTTATTATATTAATTATTTTTTCGATGGAAAGAGAAATCCTTTTACAAACTTCGCTTGATTTTGACTTTCAAAACAGCCATTTAAAGAAAATCACCAATTGTGAATTTGTTCTGTCAATCATATTTAAAAATTGTTTCTTAGACGTGTCTACCTAGCTGTTATTATACTATCACATTATTTTATTTTGTAGGTTAGAAATAAAGCTATAGAAATAACTAAAACATTACTAGAAAAATATCAACTTAATTCTCCTATAGAGGTAATCAATTTCTCTTCTTAATTATTTACAAAATTCTTATTTATTTTTATGTGTGAATCATTTGATGATGAACATTCTTTCAAGCTTTAGTACATATATCATTCAAATTTTCAGTCAGGCATCATTTGTTCTTGTAATTCCACTAAGCATAGCATTTTATGATGACACTATTGCAAAGATGCTGATTACAGGGCCATTGCAATTGTGACGTCATAAAACGCTTCTTACTAGTAAGGCTAGAAAATCTATTTACAATCTCTTTAATTTAAACAATATGTAAAACATTTACTTGATTCGTTTCTTTGTTGTTTTAGACGTATGCCCTCAATAATCTGAAGAAACTTCTTCTACCAAAACCTTTACCAGAATTCTTTACTGGAGCTAAAGCAAAAGGTATGTATAATTTTTTGGCTTCATCATGTTGAATACATACATCCTTAAATTGAAACTGATGATAGTAATATAAATTGTAAACATTATGTACAATAAACCCAGAAGTAGTATACTATAAAATTGTGTTCCGTTATTTAATGTCATCTCTATTATTTAATGTCACTAAAGAATTATTCGCATAACTAATGATGCTCCTTAGTTCTTTTAGAAATTCATCTACAAAACTTTCTCTTTGCAATATCTGTGGTAAATCAAAATTTTTCTGATTATTTCTCAGTCAAATAGACTATCAGTTTTAAAATTATTGGTTGTCTTAGAATAACTTTATGGTTTTTAATTTATAGATGTCCAAGAAGAATGGACAGAAGAGTGTATTAAAATGCATCTTTATTTATATCTTGGTTTATTACCAACTAATCATTCTCTTATACACGAGTAAGTATATTAACAGTTTATTCCTCGTGTAGAGACTATTACAAGACCTTTACAATGATATTAAACTGACTGTCAGGGTTTAAGTTCATGTAATATAATCCTCTAAAGCAGTCAAAAGATAAGAAAATATACCATAATTACCCATTATTTATTCAAAATTAGTTAAATTGTTTCATATTTTTAAAAGCCCTGTATTTATTTGCAATGATCTTTATTCTATTTATAAATTGTTTGTATATTTTTCAGGTTATCTAATGTTTATACAGCTACGTCAGCTGATGTTAAAAGAGCTATATTACGTATGTTAGAAAGTCCAGTAAGTTACTAGCGTTGTATATTATCAAATGAGTATATTTATATGGTGTTTAAATCTAAAGATTTTTTCTAAACCAAGTGTTTTATGACGGAGCTATTGTAAAGGCCTTAGATATGATAATCAGCTTAGTTTAACTGGAGTTGCATGACTCACAGATGATATCAGTGTTCCCAAAACACTTACAAGGTTTAGAAAATCTCTTCACAATACCTGTAATTATTGTTTGATAGAGTGTAAAAGTAAAAGTAGATTATTATTTATTATTGTTATTATTATTATTTATTGTTATTTATTATTATTTATTATTGTTTATTATTATTATTTATTTATTATTATATATTTATTATTTATTACTATTTATTATTAGTATTTATTATTGTTGATTATTGTTTATTATTATATATTTATTATTTATTACTATTTATTATTAGTATTTATTACTGTTTATGATTATTTATTATTGTTTATGATTATTTATTATTGTTTATTATTGTTTATTATTATTGTTTATTATTATTATTTATATTTATTATTGTTTATTATTATTTATTATTATTTATTACTGTTTATTATTATTTGTAATTGTTTATTATTATTTATATTTGTTTATTATTGTTTATTATTATTTATTATTGTTTATTATTATTTATAATTGTTTATTATTTATTATTTATTATTTTATTATTATTTATTATTCCAGGTAAAAGGTATGGGTATGGACTCACCTGAATTATTAACAATGGTAGAAAACTGTCCGAAAGGTGCTGAAACATTAGTGATGAGAGTTATACATATTCTAACAGATAAATGTAAGTTGATGTTCAAGTTATTTATCATTGTATAAAATTATGGGTGGTGTTCTTACTAAGATTGTATTTGATAATCATAAAATTCAACAAAAATTTGAAAGTCTTCATATCAGTTGCACTCTCATAATGTTTGAAAGTTCAGCCATTTCACAATATCAGTTCATGATTACGTTTATTGTTTAGGACGCAAATTAACTTGTATTTTTGATTGATTTCTGGAAATCTTGTTATATTATAGCTGCCCCGTCACCAGAACTAGTCGAGAAGATTCGAGATTTATACCATAAACGTGTACCTGATGTTAGATTTTTAATACCTGTTCTAACAGGTCTTACTAAGGTATGATCCTAAATTATTTCTCTTTTAGAGAGTTATTGCCCTTGATTTATTAACTATCATTTAAATTAGTTTTAATTACTGTGTGCATGATTTCTGAGAGTTATTGCCATAAATGAGATACAGTTTTAAATTAAACTAACTTTAAATTTCTCCTCCGTGGGTCTGTACTTTTTAATTGCAACTTGTTATGATCCGCCTTCATTTAATCTTGAGTTACTGCCCTTGATTTGAGTCATATTGTCTACGTCACTTCATAGGCGAATGTGTTATAGTTTAATGATTCATGATGATGATAATATATATATTAGTTAAATTTGTTATGTTTTTGTTTGTGATAACAGAAAGAAGTAACTGGAGCTTTACCCAAGTTAATCAAACTAAACCCTGTTGTTGTTAAAGAAGTTTTCCATAGATTGATGGGGGGACATGGTAAGTAGTAAATTTAGCCTCAATAGCAAAGATCGTGGCTAAAATTATATTCTATGTAGAGTTTGATATTATTCATGTTTAAGTTTTGTTTAAGTACAACAAATGTAATTTTAAAATTACATAGGCCAGGTGTCCCAGGACCCAAGAAAGTTTTAGGCAAGCTTAGGAATATGTCTCAGTCCTTTATTTTGCTTTGACAAATTTCTTTAAGAAAATAATTATTGTGTATTTCAGGTGAATCGTCTGTAGCCTATACATCTCCTCTAACACCAGCTGAACTATTAGTAGCTCTACATAATATAGATCCTTCCAAATGTGACATGAAAACAGTTATTAAAGGTCAGTTCAGGATTTCATTTGACTATTAGCATATTCTTTACCAATCATGTAAATATTTGGAAGTTGAAATCTAAGGTCCAAAGTTCTTAATGCCATATAGTGAGCAGTACGGACAGTTGTACCAAGACAGCTGTGTTGGTTTCTTTTGATATCCAACTTTTAAGGATTGATTACATCTGCTACAGGCTGTGCATGCTGCAATTGGAAATTAAAAATTCTGAAATTTTACCATAAGAATACTCAACCCTCATGTTAGCAACAATGTGGTGTAGAAAAGTAGGATTTAAAACTCAATTTTATTCTATTTTTTTGATATTTTCCAGCTGCCAACCTGTGTTTCAGTGAGAAGACTATATATACAACTGAAGTATTAGCTATAGCCATGCAACAGTTGATGGAGATAAACCCACTGCCTACCTTGTTAATGAGAACTGTTTTACAGTCGTTATCAATGTATCCTAGATTAATCGGCTTCGTTTTAAATATTTTACATCGTCTAATTACTAAACAGGTAAAGTCTTAGGCTCCTCCCTTATTTTCTGTGAGCTGTGGTATCTCAGGGTGTAAAACTCTTTATTGCTAATAGGTCCAGTCCTAGGGTTAACCCTTTCTTTAAGGTAGCTGTGGTGGATCATTGTATAGTATATCTTCTTTTAGGGAGTTGTGGTGGCTCAGTGTGTTACACCCAGGCTCTCTTATGTCCCTGGTTTTACATTGGTCGAGGTTTTACGTCTATTTTTAAAACAGTTTACCTCCTCTCTAAGACTCAGGTCAGAGGGTCTGAAATGAAAAATACTGGGGAACATCAAGGTTTGTACTAAGACCAACTGGTAGAAAGCATCCTTGAAAACCTTTATTGTCGTGCTCATAAAATCACAAATCATTTTTCTTCAAGTTGCAAAATTAAATTAACCTTTTTCCTCCAATGGTTTGTTTTAGGTTTGGAAACAACAGAAGGTCTGGGAAGGATTTATAAAATGTTGTCAGAAAACTAAACCTCAATCATTCCAAGTGTTATTACAACTACCACCCCAGCAGTTACAGGGTGTGTTCGAGATAGCTCCCGATTTGCGTTCACCGCTTTACACTCATGTTCAATCCCTTACTCCCCATCAGGTAAAGTATGATTTATTCTGTGTGGGATCCAATCAAATAGTGGGAAGACTGGGCCCCCTACCCCAAAAATATCTTGGAAAGTGTGGAATTACACTTACCATACCGGTATGTAGGACAAAATTAATGATAAGTTTCTTGTTTGAAGCAGAACTCTGAATTATATTTTCAATTTGAAATCAGGATGAATATTTAGCCTTGACTTACTAGTTTTTGTATTCATGACAAAAATCGTGAAATATTTCAAATGAAGGTTCTAAAGTGTTTTTTGGCGACATAATGTGATGTGTATTTGGTATTCAAAAAAACGGATTTTAAGATTTTACGACTTATCATGGCAAGAAATGATATCAAATCATTTATGGTTACAATTACAGACTTTTGTTGTTTTTTTCCAGCAAGCTCATATATCAAAAGCAGTGTTATCAACTTTAGAAAATGACCCATATGCTGAACAACGTGTCAAAGATGAAGAAAAACAGAGACAGGACAAAGAAAATGCTGAAAAATTACAGATTGAGAAGGAATTGGCAAATAGAGAAAAAGCAGAACGTATGAGATTAGAGAAAGAAAAAGCTGATAAAGAAAAGGCTGAAAAAGTTAAAAAAGAACGAGAGAAGGCTGAAAACGAGAGGAAAGAAAGGGAACGAAAGGTAAGAGCTTACCTGGTGGCAGGGCTATTTATTTGGCTCTATTTTCCAGACATAATCAGCAGGGTCTGCATAATCCTAAGGTCTGAATATTTTATCAGGTGCAGAAAAGTACAGGTAAAACTCCATTTATTTCACTTTATTTTGTACTTATTATTTCAGATGGCAGACGACATCCGAAAGAAACAAGAAGAAAGAGAAGCAGCAGATAGAGCGAGACGAGATGCCAAGAGACGGGAAGAGAAAGAAAGGGAGGAGAGACGACGAGTAGAAAGGGTGGAAAAAGAAATGAAAATAAAAGCTGAGAAAGAGAAGATTGAAAGGGAAAAGGGTGCAGTGGAGGCTCTGAAGATTGAAGAGAGGCTAAAGGAAGCGAAGGAGCGGGTGGAACGAGAAGTCAAGAAGATGAAGGAGGCAGAGGAAGCTGAAGAGAGACTAAAAA